ACAGCCCAGCCCAGCCTTGCCCTACATGGTTAGGATGTTGTAGTGGGATTTCCAAGTACCCAGGTAGCTGGCTGAAGCTTTGGAAGAGTGAGAATTTCCTGATTACTCTACAAACATAAGCCCAGGTCTGAGCTTCATTCTGGGGCTGCGGACATTGGGTCAATACATCTCAGGTCCCCATTTACTTCCCTCCCCAGTCTGTCACTCTGTCTTATCTGGCACTGATCAAGTACAGGCTCTGCAGCGTGCCCATCACTGGAGAGGGTGGGGATTCCTGAGCTCTAGGAGTGAATGAGGCAGCCTCGCTGAAAGGAACCTGCTGTGCAGGTGCGAACATTTGCCCCCACGCATCTCCCAAAGGCCTCTAGGCCTCTCACCACCACTGACACAGCACTGGGCCTCCTGCTCATGGTTTTGTCTCCATGGACGGTACACCCTCAGGACCTGCCTGGGAGTCCTGTGCAGCATCCCCTGTTCCTTGAGATTTCTCGGCCACCTCTGAGGACTCCTGTCAGGCCCAAGGGTCAAAATCCCCACCTCAGGAGACCATATTGTCCTCCCTGTCCTGAAGAAAAACACTGAGGGTCTGTAAGGCATTCTGCTTCCCACATGAGGACCTGGGCCAACCAGAGGAAGACCAGGGCTCGCTGGCCACGCTGCACTGCTCGCCGGCGCTGCTGATAAAGTCCGGCTCTCGGGCCCCTCCCTTTAGGTGCCACCCCAGCCTCCCATTCCAGGTAGGGGCACCCAGGGCACCCAAGAAGCTGGCTCGCACACACTGCGCCAGCACCTTTGTTTATGCGGTTATGTCCTTGAAGACTTTCCTGCAGCCCCTTATCTGTCAAGCAGCCTTATCTCCTTCAAGAGGTGCTTCTGCTGGGACCAGCAGAATGTGGAACTGACGGCCCCCCGGAGCAAAAATGACCAGCAGGCTCAGTCACGGCGCTGAGGTTAAACAGCAGCGACTTCAACGCCCGCTGTGGAATCTGCAAATGGGCAAATTCCAGCCTGTGCACCGGCGCCAGGGAATCTGGGTCAGAGCGGGGCCTTAGTTACGGAGCCCACAGCACGCCAATCAGAGCGGGGCCTTAGTTATAGAAACCCACAGCACGCCAATCAGAGCGGGGCCTTAGTTACGGAGCCCACAGCACGCCAATCAGAGCGGGGCCTTAGTTATAGAAACCCACAGCACGCCAATCAGAGCGGGGCCTTAGTTACGGAGCCCACAGCACGCCAATCAGAGCGGGGCCTTAGTTATAGAAACCCACAGCACGCCAATCAGAGCGGGGCCTTAGTTACGGAGCCCACAGCACGCCAATCAGAGCGGGGCCTTAGTTATAGAAACCCACAGCACGCCAATCAGAGCGGGGCCTTAGTTACGGAGCCCACAGCACGCCAATCAGAGCGGGGCCTTAGTTATAGAAACCCACAGCACGCCAATCAGAGCGGGGCCTTAGTTACGGAGCCCACAGCACGCCAATCAGAGCGGGGCCTTAGTTATAGAAACCCACAGCACGCCAATCAGAGCGGGGCCTTAGTTACGGAGCCCACAGCACGCCAATCAGAGCGGGGCCTTAGTTATAGAAACCCACAGCACGCCAATCAGAACGGGGCCTTAGTTACGGAGCCCACAGCACGCCAATCAGAGCGGGGCCTTAGTTATAGAAACCCACAGCACGCCAATCAGAGCGGGGCCTTAGTTACGGAGCCCACAGCACGCCAATCAGAGCGGGGCCTTAGTTATAGAAACCCACAGCACGCCAATCAGAACGGGGCCTTAGTTACGGAGCCCACAGCACGCCAATCAGAGCGGGGCCTTAGTTATAGAAACCCACAGCACGCCAATCAGAACGGGGCCTCGGTCACAGAGCCACACAGCAGGCCAATCAGAACGGAGCCTCGGTCACAGAGCCACCCAGCAGGCCAATCAGAACGGGGCCTCAGTCACAGGGCCCCACAGCAGGCCAATCAGAACGGGGCCTTAGTTACAGAGCCCCACAGCACACCAATCAGAACGGGGCCTCGGTCACAGAGCCCCACAGCCAGCCAATCAGGACGGGGCCTCAGTCACAGGGCCCCACAGCCGGCCAATCGGGACGGGGCCTCAGTCACAGAGCCCCACAGCCGGCCAACCCAGAATCGTGCTGCGGCGTCAACCTGAACCTGCCCCGCGGGGCGAGCAGCAGCAGCGCCCTGGTCCAAGCAGAAGCTGCAGCCGCGGAGACTCACAGCGGGGGCCGCGCCGTGGGTCTCGGAGAAGGCGGCCCCGGGGTGGGAGCCCAGCGCGCTCAGAGTAACCCGACCTGCCCGCCTCGCGCCCCCGCCCCGCAGACGAGGTCACGCTGGGAACGGTCCGCATTC